AAAAAGAGCTAGGCGACAGACGGCAGGGGAAAGGGACAGCGGCGACCGACAGGAGCGGACGGCAGAGCCGGGCGAGCGGCGGGGACGGCGGGCGGCTCTGCCCGCCCCCCTCCCTCTCGCCCTCCGTGCGGCGGCCGCGGGGAGGCTCGTGGCGCTCGCGTGTGCGCAGGCTGCTTTGCAAAGCCCCTTTTGCAAAAAAGTGGCTGAGGATTGTGTCTCTTATAAGGGGCGGACGGGGCTCGCCCCCCCCCTTCTCCTACACACACACACACAGATACACACACACACAGACAAACCTCCCCCCGCCACCCCCCGCGCTCACACACACGCACACCCTGCACCTTGCGCCTTCCACGCTCCCCGGCTTTGCCGGCCGCGATGCGGGGAGCGCCGCCGCCTTTTCAGCGCGGGACACACACACAGACACACAGATACACACGGACACACAGACAGACAGACACACAGACACACAGACAGACAGACAGACACGAGCCCCCGCGCCCCCCGCCGCACACGCGCTGGCGGCCGCGCGGCCCCGCCTCCCCCCGCCGCTCCCCCGCCCCGCGCGCCGCCCCCGCCGCTCGCGGGTTTGTTGTCGCAAGTGCGTGCGCCCGGCGCGTGCCGCGCTCCCGGCCCTGAGCAAACACCCGCGCCGGGGCGCCGCGCGGGCCGGGGGCGGGGCGGGGCCGCGCGCGTGGGCGCCGCGGGGGGGGCGCGCGGGGGCGGGAAAGCGTGAGGGAGGGAGAGAAAGGGGAGAGCCCTGCCCGCCGAGGGGCTTCAGGGACGGGACGGGACGGGGAGCGGACCGGGCTGAGGCAGGGGCCCCAGGGTGTGCGGGGCATCCTCTGCTGGGGCCACCTCAGTGGCACCTGCCGGGATTCGGAGGGGACGGTGCGGGGTGTGTGGGCACGGAAGCATCTCGAGGCGTGGGCAGGCAGAGCTGTGGGCGCCCGCGGGAAAAGCGCCCTTGACATTGGGGATCGCTGCGCGTTCGGGGAAACTTCGTGCGCGGGACCTCGGCTTGTCCTTGTCCCTAGAGAGCACCGAGACGCCTGGTATCGCTCACGGAGCGCTGCCGGGCTGAGCTCCGTGAGTGTCCGAGCCCCACCGCCGGGGCTGGCGTTCCGCCCCCCGTCTCCAGCGGCCAGAGCCGCGTGTGCCCGGCACAGCACCCGCCCCGCGGACGGCCTGATGGCTCTATTAGCCAGCGACAACCGCGGGTGAGCCGGGCTGGGTGATAGCAGGAGGGCGGCTGAGAGCAGAGCAGGGTAGAGACTTCTCTGGAGAAGTCACCTCGAATTACCCCTCTGGAATGCTGAGCACCACGGGGTGAGACTGTCAGGAGAGAAAGAACAAACCCCTCCTGGGCACGTCCCACGCAGACGGTCCAGCACGGGGAGGGAGGAGATTTGCCTCATAAAGTCAGGGTGTGTCGGGCAGAGCTGGCAGGTGTGGAGTCAGCCCACCCTTCACTGCCAGATCACATTTCCCAGGCCACACAGTCTGCTTGCTGGGCTGGGGAAGCCACTGCGCCCCTGCTCTTCCCGTGGCATCCAGCAAAGTGGTCACCAGCTTTCCAAGCAGTCAATGGCATTGGCCTCTAACTGGGGAGTCCGGATGGACCTGGCCTATGCAGGGGAGATTATCACTGCTCTCAAGTGAAGTCTCACTTGTGGTTCAGGACCAAATGAGGAAAAGCAGCATTGAGGTGCAGAGAGTTTGAGGCTGGTTTGCCTTGGGGGTCACATTGACCTTTTGGGCTCTAGGGGTGTAGGCAGCCTGGGAGGCATGGCCAGGCTGAGCACTGGAGAATGCTGATCTTGGCATTCTCTCCCTGCCCTCCCGCCTTTCACATATCCATGTATTTCTGAAATCTCTAGCACATTTTCTGCCTTCTACTCTTGTCTCATTTCCACTTCTCTCTGCACTTTTCCACTCTGTGAACTCAGATGTGTGTGCTTTCTAACCCACTAAAAAGAGCAGAGCTAAGGTATGACAGCCTTGCCATGGTGATATTATGGCTCTAGGAAGTCCCTGGCAGGTGGCTTTAATCCCTGGTACTCACACCAGCTCCAAAGTATGGAAGGAGGGGACCTGCACAGCCTATGTTAAGGACTGGAAATGACTGCAAAGGTAAGCCCTGTGCTGTTGTTGACCTCAATTACAGCAGCCTGGAGCTATAGAAATCACTTCTTCTCATCTGCCACTGGATCTCTGACTCTGGCTCTGTGTGTGAGCTTAAAAAGTGCTAACCAGACACATCGCACAGGAAAACCTCAATGTGTTAGTGAACTATCTGCTAGCTAGTGTTTTTATAATTTTTTAACGTGTCAGCTTTTAAAGCACGTGTGATGAAAAATGTGAAATTGTTCTGTGTGGTCATATTTATTTTGTGACCTCTTCACTGATCACTGACCAGTTTCTGACTTCTGGCCTGCTGTCTCATCACATGGGAAATGTTTTAACTTATTTTATCTACTCTTGGGCAGAACAACCAGACCATAGCAGGATAAAATGTTTGCTTGTATTTTCTCTTTGAGGAGCTCATCTTCTTCAGTTCCAGGTCTTCTGGATGATTTGTTCAACATCTGTTGTCTGATGTCAGAATGGACTGCTCCAGAATGGAAGCAGAATGGAAGCAGTTCTTGCATCACCAGCTCTTTATTGTGACTTTGGGAAGCGCTAACAGAAATATCAAAGTAATTTCAGCCCTGTAAAACATATATATATGTATATATATTTAAACAGACTAATTCTTCTGGAGTACCCAACTTCCAAAACTAGTGTAGAAGCACCATATAGGGACATTCCTGCCTTTTGTCCTGGAAGTGGCAGAACAAGACTGGAGTTTCTGGCTCCCTTCTTCTCCAGTCTCAGAGGGCTCTTAAAAAGGCAAAACCTGTGAGTCCCAGAGGTCACAAAGTGTAACTCATGTAATTGTGTCTCAGTGGCCCTGTACCCATTTGGCTACCCTGGGTCATGGTACGTGTTTGTATGGGGGATGGATAAGGGGGGCAGAGCCTTTTCCTCTCTTGTCTCTTTCACTACCACCGGGGAATGACTTCACCCGTCATATCTGAGGTAATTCCAACCTCAGCAGCTCCTCTGTGTGCTCACTGCACAGAGTGAGGGCTCTGGGGCTCTGCTCGCTGTGCAGAGTAAGGGACCAGATTCCTAGATAATAAATATTGTTCCAAGGTCCCTCCGCCTCTACCCACTCCTATCCACAGTCCTGCACCTGCGCCTTAAAATCCTTAATTCTAATATAATGATAAATAGCCCTTGCCCTTTTAATTCAGCACTTTTACTTAGTTTATTTATTTATTTATTTATTTATTTAAATCTTGAACTGTCATTATTTTCTAGTGACTTTTTTGTGTGCCTAAATTGTAGCCACACTCATGAGGTCTTTTGAAGTCCTTCCCTTTTTTTAAAAAAAAACAACTCTGGTATGCTTTTTTTTTTTTCCTTGCCACTTCTTTTCTTTTTTAAAGGCCATTTACGTTATGATTAAATGCTGTCTTGGAAAAGCAGAACGAAAGTCGTTAATCTATATAGATCTTCAAAGAATCGATACATTCGGGACTTCTGTAGGATTTGTTACACTCCATTTTGTTACAGTAGGCAGCTCGTCTGGATTTGGGCACATGTGTTTCTCTCCCTCCCCTCGCCCTCCCCCTCGCCTTTCCAGCTTCCCCCCCAAGAGTGAAAATAAAGTAAAAGGTCTTTCATGGTAAACAAAACCAGCTTATTCTCCACATAGAACACATGAATAGCTGGAAAAAAAACTTACAATAAATGGTGCATTTTTTTCTCTGCTGGGTATAGCATTCAAGATCAGTCCAGTATTCAAGAAGCAGTCCATTTTTTGCTCAGCAAGAGAGTTTAGAAAAGAAGCGTGGGGTCTATTCAAGGATCTTTTCCCCCTTCACAATTGCTAGGCTTTATGAAACCTATCTTCCATGCCTTGTCAGAGTATTTCTGGGGACCAATTAGTGCTTTGTTGCAAGGCTTCTTTGCTGAATCTTTGAGCAGCAAGAAAAAGCTCTCTTGAGTCTCCCCTTATTTTGACTATTTCAGTCATTACTCAGTGTAATAATTAATATGACAACTGGACGCTGAAGTTTGTATAGAAACACCTCGGCTGCAGGAGAGAGCGTGCAGTGGGTGGTAACAAGCTACAGATCAGACTGAGAAGCCACACACACAAGGAAGGGGGGGAAAAAAGAGAGAGAGAGAGAGAATAATGAATGAAAAGAAAGAGAGAAAGAATAAAGATAAATAAATAGTTGGTGCGGCCTGAAGAAGCATAATACAGCCTTAGAAGGAAAAAAAAAAAAAAAGGCACTGAGAATGGGGGGGGGGGGGTGGTTCGGTCAGCCCCAGAGAGGTAAACTTATTTTGAAACAGTTTCCACGTAAATATAATTTTCAAAATTTGCTGCTTTCAGAACTCAGGAAAGTGAATTTCTCCTGAAAAGGCAAGATGTTCCTTTGGGTAAGTAATGTTTAAGGTCCGTGCGTTTGCACTTCTGCATACTTTATAAAGTTTAATGACTCTTCCTAAGCGTCCCTTTATGGAAATGAAAACTTAACCATGAAGCCTTATTCTTGAGTATTTGTTGCCCATCCTGCCCAGGGTGGAGAAGGCTGGTTATTGGGGTAGCAAGTTTGAGTTTTCTTGGTGTTGCATCGTCTACAAGAGGAATAAAGCCTGTGCCCCAATGAAGAATTAAAAATGACGTTTGACCAGGGACACTGCTGAATTCTCCTCGAAAGGCGTCTTGGGATGAACACTCATCACTTCGCAGA